CATTTTTACAAGACAATCATTTTGGTTGACCTGGCCACGGCTATCACTACAGTTTAATAAGATCTAAGTAGTAAAAGTAGTTTACGTTTCTTGTCTCTCAAGTGGACAGAGTTTTCTTTCCAGTTTGATTCGATCAACAAACGAAAAGTTGTTCTTCTTTTGACACTTGTGTGAGCAGTCTGATGCCTAAAAGCGAGTGCAGCCACGCATGTTGGTGTTTCATGTCAGGTTACCACATACTCTTACTTCTTAATATTTCCAGCATCCCTCGGCGTCATGATTAGTCCACTTCCGTTTCCAGCCCAGGTGAAGGTAACAGACTGGTTTCTGGTTGTATTTTCTGCTCTGACCTCTCAGTTAGCTGGTGCAGTCTTTAGTGAGGAGGGGGTGCGCGCTGGCGGAGGATTTGATGGCGGAGCGCGCTTGCCAAGTTGCTAAATGTCTGAGCACCAGTAAAGCCAGAGACCAACAGAGCCCACCATCACCAACCCGGTGCCAGCTGCGCCACGTGGCAGCCAGGCGGCCCCTGCCAAAGTGGCCCTGGTGGGAGGGACCCAGTATTTCTTTCCTAATTCACTCAGCATCTGTTCATTATTCTCCGCGTTAAAGGAGGCTGAGTGTCCACCCGCGGCCCGGGTCAAAAAGAGACCCTCTCCCGGTCACGCATTTTTGCAGGAGACTGCAGCGAGACCGACACACGAAACTAATCGGACATTTGTGCAGTGTCAAAGAGGTGGTTGTTCTAAATCCCGTCACTGCTTCTGCAGCAGACTTTTAAGATGTGTCTGAGTTTAACCCGCTAAACTCACTTGTGGGTCCAGCCTCATTTAGGCAATCCTGTTTTAATCAAAATACTAAATGGGATTAATTTAAAAACGCGTTATTATTATTATTATCATTATTATAGAAATTAGAAATTTTTAAATAAAAATGAAACTAGGTGTATATTGAAGTTAATTAACACTGGTCTAACCCTTGAAGACATATATGCATCTCCGGCTAAATGAATTTGTCTTAGTCCTTAGGATGATGTATATTTACTTATGTTTTTCTTACGTTAATAGTTTCTATACATAATTGTCACCTATCCGTTGGACTGATTTCTGCATCATGTAAAGGTAATTCTAAATATCTTTGACAAATGGCCTTAACTGACGTAACTAAAATCCCTAAAATCAATTAAGTGGGCTCCTGTTCACGGGTAATTGTTCAAATGAATGTTTATCAAATACCGTGCAATTACTATAATTAAATAATCCCGCGCAGAGCTCACTTTAACTGCTTTTAAAATGATCAACTGATCCGCTAAAATCGCAGCCCAGCACCGCAAGCACAACACAGAGTAGGCCCAGGCCTACTGAACATAAATCTCCATCTGGAGAGTTTCATTCCCATTTATCAGATTAGGGCAACATTTATCGGATTAATTACTGTGGGATTAATCTAGAAAAAGATATTCCACAGGTCTATCGAGTGTCCTAATCATCATATAGACGGTTCTGTTGTGCGGAGAGGGCAGTGATATGGGAATCGGAAATAAGCCTCAAAACAATCATTTAAATATTCAAAGATGATTGACAAGGTCCCTGCACTGTGTGTGATAGAAGAAAACCCTATGATGTCTATGATATATGTGTGTTTTGTTTGTCACTTACTCCCCTTACAAACAGCACCACTTAGATCAGCTTGCCTGGATGCACATGGAGCTAAATCTGGGAGTCACCTCCACTGCAGTGAGCACCGGGTGCCACTGCATCATACTCACCCACCCTGCACCCTCCCACCATTATGACCCTGCCAGCTTGAGCGCCACGCCCAACTCTGTGAAACGAGATGAAGCTGGCATAGGGCAAAATTCCACTGCATCTACTGAACAATGGTAATGCTGTGTGCGTGTATGCATCTGTGCATGTGTGTGTGAATGCTCATCCCTGCTTGGGGCTAACTGTCTTTGTTTGTTACAAGGGGGGGGACACACTGAAGGTGTCAGACCTCACTGTGTTTTTTGGTCAAAAATGACACACACACACATGCATACACACACTTACATTGATTTCCTGTAGATGTGCCCTAATCTTAACCATAATCACTACTCGCCTGTCCCTCACCTTAACCTTAAACCCAGTCAACACCCTAAAATGTAGTGATTTACATTTTGAGGAGTCGCTTTTTGTCCCCATATGGACGTCGAGTCCCCACAATGTGACTGTGTAAACAATATGTGTCCCCACAGCATTTGCAATATCAGGCCACACACACAAACCCAAACCGAACCACTCACAGACTGGCTGTGGAGTATGAAAGCACACAGAGCCCAGAGTGAGGATTTGTTATGTTTGATGTGTGTGTCAGCCTCAAGTGTGTGTGTGCAGTGTACAGTATGTGCTGTGCCTGGTGGGGTATAGAGGTTGTTGTCACTCTGCACAGATCAGAGGAAAAGGGAAAGGAAAGACGAGGAGGAGGGTTGCATCTCTGATGCTGCCATGCCACGGTCACGCGGGCAGCAGTAATTGGCCTCCATATTGAGGGGTTTTGCGGTGCTGCGGGGTGGGCAAACTCCCAGCTGGACCTGTCAGATGGTATTCAATCCAGCTC